TAGATCTCTTCCAGTCAGTTGGCCAAGTGGTTGTTCTCCAGATTTCTTGGCACAAAAAAATAACAGCACCATAAGATAAGATTTAAGGGAGCTCTGGTGGCCTAGTGGCAAGAAGCTGTACTACAAGCCCAGAGGTTCACGGTTCAAATCCACCAGATGCGCTGCTGCAGAAGGAGGGACAATCTCCTCCTGTACCAGTCTGATCCGATTTGATAGTATACACACAAAAAATAATAAAATAAAATTAAAAGAAAAAAAGATAATATTTAAAAATGAGATAGAAAAATAGAACACAGTGTGATCATATTCATAGTAAATAATAAGGAAATAGGCTAGTACATGCTGGTACTTTTTGTTTCCTGAAATAGTCATAAAATTGTTAATGGTTATTTTTTTAGGAGAGGAACAAAGAGAAATATGGTAAGTCTTTATTTCTCATATATCGATTTATAAATTCTCCTACCATGTTCACATCTATAAGGGCTACTTGGTGTGATGGTTAATGTGTTAACTAGGCTAATTCTCAGCAGACTGCAAGCACTCACCTGGACATGTTCTGCCAGTTTCACATGATGCAATCATTTTATCACTCCATATGAAAAAATATGACTTCCTCCCTTACTACTCACCTCTTTGCCTCAAGTTCTTGGGATGTAATCATGCAGAAGCCTCAGTCACCACATCTGCAGTTTTGTTTTTTGGGATTTTTTTGCTAGTCCCTAGAAGATTATCCAAAAACGACTAGAACAGCACATCAGCAGAGAATTGCCAGAAGGAAGTCCAGGCTGGGTTTAGAAGGGGTTGTGGTAACAGGGATATTGTTGCTGATTTTAGATGGATCTTAGCTGAAAGCAGGGAATACCAGAAGAATGTCTATTCGTGTTTCATTGATTACACAAAGGCGTTTGACTCTGTGGATCATAGCAAACTGTGGCTGACTCTGAAAAGAATTGGAATCCTAGAACATTTAATTGTGCTAATGCGAAACCTATACTCAGAACAGAGCAGGGTAACACTGCATGGTTCCAAATTGGGAAGGGTGTACGCCAGGGATGTGTCCTGTCTCCATACCTTTTCAACATGTATGCAGAGCAGATTATCCAGGAGACTGGACTCTATGAGGAGAAGTGTGGCATCAGGATTGGTGGAAGATCTATTAACAATCTGCATTATGCAGATGACACAATCCTGCTTGCTGAAACTGAGGAGGACCTCATGCACTTGCTGCGGAGGGTCAAGGACTGCAGCCTTCAATATGGATTGAGGCTCAATGTCAAGAAGACAAAGATTCTCACCACTGGACCAATTGGCAGCGTCAGGATGGATGGCGAAGAGATTGAGATTGTTCACAGCTTCAGTTTGCTCGGCTCCACAGTCAACACTCTTGGCACCAACAGTCAGGAAATCAAAAAGTCTATTGCGATTGGAAAGTCTGCTGTTAAGGACCTCTCTAAAGTACTCAAGAGCAACGGTGTCTGTCTGGAGACTAAGGTGCGCCTGATATAGGCCATGGTCTTTGCAATCACTTGTCATGCGTCAGAGAGTTGGACTATGACTAGGGAGGACAGAAGGAGAATTGATGCCTTTGAGCTGTGGTGCTGGAGAAGAGTATTGAATGTACCAAGGACTGCTAGGAAAACAACCAGATTCATCCTGGAAAGGATTAAACCAAGCAACTCCTTGGAGGCAAGGATTCTGGGGCTTCGTCTGACATACTTTGTGCATGTTGCCAGGAGGGACAGGTCCTTGGAGAGGGACATCATGCTTGGGAGGGTAGAGGGACAGCACAGGAGGGGAAGACCCTCTATGAGGTGGACTGATTCAGTGACTGGGGTAATCAGGATGGGTGTGTCAGAGGCAGTGCGATTGGCACAGGACAGAGCAGGGTTTAGGGCTGTTGTGCATAGGGTCGCTATGAGTCGCAAGCGACTCGACGGCACATAACAACAACACCAGTCCCTAGAAACTCATAGCGAAAGACAGGCAATTTCCTGTGTAATGTACTGCTACAAAAATCTGCTGGAGGGTCAGCTATGGGTCAGTTCTGACTCACTGGTATTTAACAACAACTCAACAGACTCACAAGCCAGCAGATGTCTCCAACCTTTTGCCTGAGCAACAAACGTGGATTCTGCAAGACTACAGACTTTCAGTAGTCAACTTTGATGAAGTCAATCTCTCTATAGACTCATGCATAATCTACCTCACTGGTTTTGCTCTTCCAGAGAACCCACTGAGACTAAGCTACGTTGGCTATGAGACTAGGCCATTTTTTGGTTTCAATGTCATATTTTTTGTAAAAGTCATTTTAAAATAAACTCTTTCCCAGGGGAGTCTGATGTATGTGAAGAAATCACTGCTCTAAATCAGGAAGAAGAAATGCTCAGTCTTTCACTCCTCAAAATCACCCAGAGAACAAACTCAACCCAGTTATTTAAAGAAACCAAAGGAGGTAAGACAATGGTTGGATGCTGAGTCCCACTCACCCTGCCATAGACGGGGTTGGCAGCAGCCAGAACACTGCAGCGGGCATTGAGCCGGGCGTGGATGCCAGCCTTGGCGATGGTCACTCGACCCTGCTCCATCACTTCGTGGATGGCCGTGCGGTCCATGTCAGACATCTTGTCAAACTCATCAATGCAAACCACCCCTCTGTCGGCTAGCACCATGGCCCCTGCTTCCAGACGGCGCTCCCCTGGAGAGATGGAAGGCAAAAGCATGTGCTATGGCCTCAGCTGAAGACAGAAGAAGGATTTCTATGCCCTTCCTAGACCATCTCTCAATGTCCTATAAAAATGGGGTAAAAGGTGTGTCAGCTCCTAGAGATTTTGAGAACATACTACATGGGTCACTTTTTGCTCCAAACTAAGTGTCTCCTTGTCCCACTTTGGGTCCTAAACAACTGGTGTCCCCTCTACACTCTTCCTTTAGAATTTCTCTATTTTCATCCTCACATGATTTCCCAATCAGACATCTGGTTTCTTGTCAATGGTCTTCAAATTTCTATCTATAATGCAAAAAGTAAATCATTTCCCCTTCAGCTGTCAAGGCTTCTCTCTCAAAAACAGTTTCAACTTTTTCAGGTGAGAATTTTGTCAAAAAAAGAGCTACACCAAAGATTTCATCTGGTATTTCATACTCAGTCAACCTGACCCAAACTAATCTCACAACTGTATTTTTCCAACATTCAGTCAGTCCCCCAGGCAGGTTCAAAAACTGTTTCTAATCTCACTGCTATGAATTCTTACCCTCTTACCTGTTTCCTGGTCCGTGGTGACAGCAGCTGTCAGACCCACTCCAGAAGAGCCCCGGCCAGTGGTGGGGATAGCTCGGGGTGCAGAACAAAGCACATACCGCAGCAGCTGAGACTTGGCAACGGAGGGGTCTCCTGTAATTGGACAGGGGCAGTGGTGACGCTCTCAACCCTCGGCAAGTTCTGCTTCTCTAACATAGTTCCTGGCACAACAGACACGTAATAACTGGCTCACAGTATTATCTCCTCTGCTTTGTCATTTGTGGAAGAATACTGTTTAGATACTATCAACTTAGTATCTAAAAACTCAGAAATGGTAATTTAAAAATAAAAATCTTTTTCTTAGCCTTCTGTCCTTTGATGGAACTGAACCACTGCCAAATGAATACAAACTCTTTCAGTTCTAGATCCCTCCACACGCCACAAGGTAGGACAGATTTCAGTGCAACTCTCCATCCTACCTATGAGGAGGATATTGATGTCCCCGCGGATGTGGCTGCCGTTCTCCAGGTCTCGTTCCACTCCCCCCAGGAGCAAGCAGAGGATGGCTTTCTTGACATAGTCATGACCGTGAATGCTTGGGGCCAGTGACTTGGCCAGCTGATCAAAGATGTCCTGCAGGAAGAACCAAGCACGTGAAAAACCTTGAGATTCATTCAACAGGTTTCTGCTGAGCTGTTGCCTTATACTCCAGTCTGCAGAATCCATTCAGAGAAACACACAAATACAGAGGCTGTTCCTACTGCAAGGATTCTGTTTAAGAGAAATTCCATTGATCAGATCATACGTGAAACAGAAAGAACAAGCAAACTGGAGAGCAAAATGAACTTTGAGGTTTAACCTTTTTAAAAAACCCACAAAATAAAAAAAACCCTTTGGTCCCATGTTCAAAACATTTTGTGTATTATGCTTCAGCTTTGTTCTTCATCATACATTTTGTTCAAATCTAAAGTGTAAATCCTGTCTTTAAGAAAAGATGAAAAAAACTGGAAAGCAGTAACAAAAGAGTAAGAACAAATAAATGGCCTTGATTTTTTTAAAAAAATACATGTATTTAATTTAAATAATAATTCATTAGTATCTTGATTCCTGAATATATTGGTACACTACTGTTCTAACTACTACTCTATTTTTAATTTTAAATATACTTAGTAGCCCAGGATGTCACACAACAGAAATATTTAAAGAAAAAAAAAAGAAAAACAACACACCAACCCAAAACAATAAAATACTCTTACTTGTGAAATAGGACTAAATTAGTGGAAGCAAGCATCAAATATTCAGGGCGAAAAAAAATCCAACTCAAGATACACTTGCCCTTTCTCCTGATAGTACAAAAGACAGCCGCACCACCTTTATAATAAATCCATCCCACAATTAAATCCCTCATTTCAAGGCACAATTCTATTTCCCAAGGATGCTCAGACCTTGGATCGAGTCTTGCTGAACTTCTTGATTTTGGCTATGTCCTCAGCGGAGAAGGAAGGCTGAACATCCTTACTCATTTGCTTCACATTACAGGCAATCAGGACAGTCCTGGAACAGAGAGGAGAACTAGAGCAATCTGCCAGTTTCAACACCTAATACTAATATTTAGGGAACCCTACTGGCACAGCTCCTAACAGGGCTGTGAAGGAAAAGTCAGCAGTTCAAATCAACCAGCTGCTCAGCAGACTCAGCAGAGAAGGGCAGTCTCCTCTCACCAAGTTTTTTAGTCTTGGAAACACAATGGAGGGCTGCTAAGAGCCAGCACTGACTCGGTGGCAGTGACTTTTGAACATTAATAGTTAATACTCTCAGTAGCAACAAACCTTTTTAGACTGACCTAGGACAGCAAAAACTAAGGAAAAAAATTCACTGCTGTCAAGCTGATTCCACTTCATGGTAGTTTTGGAAACCTCCACAGAGTTTCCACGGCTCCAAATCTTCACAAGAGGGGACTCTTCACCTTTCTCCCTTGAAATAGCTAGTAGATCTGAACCACTGACCTTTGGGTTAGCAGTGCAACACATAGTGAAATGAATAGCAAATAGGGGAGGGGAGTGTAGTTTTACAAATTCAAGGACTCATTCTTTTATCAGGGAACATGCTAATCATACCACCCCTCTACCACTTATCTCCTTTTGACCTACTTGGTTCCAGATAAAAGTGCCTGTGAGAAATGATCGTAAATTATGAAGCTATAATCACAATATCAGTGACTCCCACTTTTGGCATTAGATGGGATTACAACCTTCATTTGAAAGGATCCCACAGACACTGAAGCTGCCAGGAGCATCCCTGACAGTTGAAGGTTGACCCCTTACCTGAAGGTCCCTGAGGTATAACCTCCTTTCTTTCCAGGAAGGCAGCGGTAAGTGCCCACCACCTGGACTCGGTCACCAGGCTTCACTTTATCCACCAAGTCATCATCCAGGATGACATCCACAGACCGGGGAAGCTGGCCAGCTGGGGCCTTCTCTGGCATCTCCTGGATAGTGATGGTCTGGTGGTCCTTGTAGACAGAAAGGCCATATTCTGTCTCAAGAGGATTGTTTTCTTCATCCTGGACAAAGGAACACAGCCAAGTAGTTTTCTCAGCCCATCTTAGAAAGACTACACCTATCTATCACGAAAAACACATCTGGAGATGACTGAATATGATTTTTAACAACAAAGAAAAAATATATTCTCCATTCATACTAATAATTAACCATCTAATGTTATGTGCTGTTGAGTCTCCTGCAACTCATAATGACTCTATGTGCAACAGTCCTAAACCTACTCTATCTTGTGCCAACTTACTGTCTCCAACACACCTACCCCATTACCCCAGTCACTGAATCAATCCAGCTCATCAAGAGCATTCCTCTTCTGAGCTGTCCCTTGACCTTCCCAAGCATGACGTCCCTCTCGAAGGACTGGTACCTCCTTGCAACATGCCCAAAATATGTCAGACGAAGCTTCAGAATCCTTGCCTCCAAGGAGCAGCCTGGTTCAACTCTCTCCAGAACAAACTTGTTCATTCTCTTTGAAGGAACCATAGCTGTAATACCGTAAATTTGACTAGTATCTAATTTTAAATCATTACTTCTACTAAACTATGATGCAGTAGCTCTACCTGAAGGCTTCTCAACAAATAGTCATCCAAAGTACCAAAATATTCATCTCTCATTGCTGTTGAATTGAAACCAACGAGCTGACCCTCCATTGGGCTTTGGAAGCTGTAAACTGCATGACAGAAGGCTGTCCATCTCCCTCTGAAGAAGCTGCAGGTGAATTCAAATGCCAGAGACATGTAGTCATCACATTAGCAACACAACTTCCCATACACTATGTAAGAGTTCTCAAAAACAAAGTGATCTCTAATGGTACAAAATTAGAATGTATCTACATATTGTCAACATTAAGTGGCTAGACAAATTTAGTACAGTCACAAAGAAATAATATGTAGCAATAACTATGTATAATAAACATTTGCACACAATGATGAATTTTAGGAAAGAAACAACAAAGAGTACTTTACTTAAAGTATAAAAAGAGGTCAAAGTAACCCATGCTATTACAAATTAGGAGAGTGGTTCACCTTGGGTTGTAGAGCTGTGCCAGTTCCTGTTTTGATGTTGATTACACAGGAATATTCAGTTTGTGAAAACTCATCAACTATTTACTTAAGTGTATACTTACCCTATATGTACTAAACATCATTAGCATTTCTTAAGGAATTACTTCTGTCATAGATTTAATTATGTCCTTAAAAAAATGTCAGCTTGACTAAGCCATGATTCCCAGCAATAGCCCCCTATTCTGTGACGTGATGTAACTATCTTCCATTTTATGTGTTGTAAATCTTAAAATTTCCTGGGTCAGGATTACAGCAGCATGTACCTTAAGGAACGCTGCCTAACTTGCTTGAGCCACACCTTTTCTTCTATAAGCGATAAGAGGCAAAAGAGCAGAGAGGAGGCGGAGCTCAAAATCACCAAGAAAGGAAAACTGGAGACAGTGTGTCCTCTGAACCTAGGTCCTTGCACTGAAAATCTCCTAACCCCAAGAAGTTTGAGATCAGGACACTTAGAGATCTCCAAGGAACACTAGGCACACAGATGGTGAAAAGAGACAAAGACCTTCCTCCAGAGCCAACAAGTGGAGCCCTGTAATGGTGAGAAGCTTTGCTGCTATCCCAAAGGCAGACTGTTAGGATCCACCAGCTGCTGCACAAGAGAAAGACAGGTCATTTGCCACTGTGTGGTTTGTTGTTGTTATTGTTATGTGCCGTCGAGTCGCTTGCGACTCATAGCGACCCTATGTACAACAGCCCTAAACTCCGCTCTGTCCTGTGCCAATCGCACTGTCTCCGACACTCCCATCCCAATTACCCCATCACTGAATCAATCCACCCCATAGAGGGCCTTCCTCTCCTGCATCGTCCCTCCACTCTCCCAAGCATGATGTCCTTCTCCAAGGACCGGTCTCTCCTCACAACATGTCCAAAATATGTTAGACGGAGCCTCAGAATCCTTGCCTCCAAGGAGCCGTCCGGTTTAACCCTCTCCAGGATGAATCTGTTCGTTTTCCTAGCAGTCCATGGTACCCTCAATACTCTTCTCCAGCACCACAGCTCAAAGGCATCAATTTTCCTTCTATCATCCCTCGTCATTGTTCAACTCTTTGATGCATAACAAGTGATAGCAAAGACCATGGCCTGTATCAGACGCACCTTAGTCTCCAGAGAGACACCACTGCTCTTCACATAAGTATTTTTTGTGATTTTAATTAAAGTTTACAGAAAAGTTAAGATTTTCATTCATTCATTATTGCATTTTCCTCCCTACCGCACAGTTAACTTAAAAAAAAAACCACAACAAAACATTCTTTGTTGCCTGATTTCCTCCTTCCCCTTCCCCAGTCCACTTTGGTATGTACCTCTTATTCTGGATGGTTGTCATACAAATAATGCCTAATCCCATAGTCCTTTCAAACAGTATAAATATTTTCACATGTTCCATTTAAAAATCAGGTTATGAACTGTAGACCTGATTTTAGCTTTGAAAAGACAGAATGACTGTTCTTCCTTTCTCAACACTACTATAATTTTCTAGTATTTACTCTTAAAAAAGGTAGGGGAGGGGAAGCCGTAACCTCAACTAATACCTATCTACTTGCATGAAAACAAACACCTTTGACTCCAGCCCTGTAGAAGGCCCAGTTACCTTACTGCCCTCACCTTAGTGGGATACACAGAGCTGGACGGAAAGGCTACCAACGTAGTGAGATCAGAATAACGTCGCTCTATGGTTTTCTTGGTAGCAGGACAATAGTGAACACTTCGGACAACTTTGGGTCGAACTAGAGAGCCTAGGAATGAAAAAACAGACATTTAAAGTCACTCACCTGGACGGTGACAGAAGCAAGACTTGAATTAAGCCAGGCCTACAAGAATTCCCCAGACTATTTTCTTGTGACTAGTTTAAGCTATTTTAGACAAACCAAGTCTACCTCAAACCAGTTACCATGAGACAATTCCACTTGGGGTAATTAACCATGCCTGTCAGAGCAAAACTATTTTCATTTTCCAGAATTTCAATGGCTGGTTTTCAGAAGTAGATAGCCAGGCACTTCTTCTAAAGAGTTTCTAGTTGAATGAAAACCTCTAGACTTTTAGACAGGAACTGAGAATGCTAACCATTCATTGACTCCTGGTGGGTTATTCATTTTTGTATCACTATATGGAATATCACCATAGCTACAAAAATTGTATGTACAATCGATCCCAAATAAAAAATACTAAATGTTCAAGATTGCAATGCAGTAACAACTATGAAGAATCACACTTTTTTCTGCTCTCAAAAGAACTAATTACTTTTAGCACAAGGAGAGGGTCAAAGTTATTCTAATCTCTGTGCACTCTTCCAACTTTCATGTGTAACTTTCCTTTTTCATCTTTCTAAAGCCACCAGCTTACCCAGCTATACTCCACTTCACATGCTTTCTCAGTTCCTCTAATTTAATCCCCTTTCATTCCCCTTGACCCCACCCTTAAACTCACTTACATTTAGTGACAATGCCCTCCACACAGACTACACAGCTGAGGAAACAGGAGGTGAGAGTTCTTGGGGAGACATGTTTGGATCCAAAACTGCCCTCCAATCCTATGTAGAACTCCTCATACTGTTTGGCATAGGTGGCATCAATAGAGGCCACAAAATCTTTTAAAGCACGTTGGAAGGCCACAAGTTCCTCAAAGGCATTGTTCAGGAGGCTGTATAAAGGCAAGAACATATACATCAGGCAGAGAAGACAAAAATCCAAAATCCTGATCAAAGCTAAGGATTGAAAATCACACTCCCATTTTCTCCTATCATCTTACAGGATACAGTAAAACGCATCAGAACCGGAGGCCAACTTTAACTAGTGAAAGGGGTACAGATGATCCTTAGTTAAAGCACCAGAAGAAGGAACACGTAAGAGAAAATGTCATCCAGACTTTCAGAAGGAAAAAAATGGAGCAGGAGAGACAAGGTTTCCAATTCAATCACATCTGATCCAGGTCATACTTTAGGAAGCCTATCCCACTGTGGAAAATTATTTAGGAGTAATAATGTCAGTTTGGAAAAGTTGAGTGATTTAGACCATAGCCTTCCAAATAACTAACTTGCCATGCATCTGAGAACTGGACCGTGACTAAGGATGATGGGAAAAGAACTGACACCTTTGAGTTGTGGTGTTGGAGAAGAGCACTGAACATCCCATGGACGGCTAAAAGAACAAACAAGAGGGTGCAGCCAGAGTGCTCTTTGGAGGCAAGAATGATGAGGCTTTGCTTCACATACTTTGGGCATGTTGCTAAAAGGGGTTATTCCTTGGAGAGGGACATGATGCTGGAAAGGGTAGAGGGCCACAGAAGGAGAGGAAGACCCTCAAGCAGGTAGACTGACATGGAGACTGCAGCAATGGGATCTTGTGTGTCAGGAAGTGTAGATAGTGCAGTGTAGAACAGGGTTCAGAACTTTTGTTCAAAGGGTCACAATGAGTCTTACTTGACTCGATGGCACCTAACAACATTCCACTGTGGGGAAGTGGAAGGGGACTCGATTTGCTCAGAGCTTCTCACCGGTTAGCCCTCTTCTCATTTTTCCTGCGCAGGTCATTCACATTGACAATCAGACGGTACTGGTTGTCACTGATCAGCTCCCGCACTTTGCTTTGATAAAGTCCTTGGTCTTCCTGCAAAATACGCATCAGATTGAAAAATCAGATGATTTAAAACAGAGGCAGCTGTCACAGCCCAATAAATAAGTCAATCTCCAAGGCAGAACTGAATCCCAAAGATCCATTCATCAACTTCTCCCACATTCTACTCTTAAAGTCTGAGTCTAACTATATCCTTTGGAAATACTGCAAAATAACCTCCTCTTTTTGAGGAATGATCCAACTTGTCAATTCACTGTCATCACAACAGCTTGTAAAAAAATGTTTCTATACTGTGTCATTTCTCATCCTTCAAAGGAGAATTAAAGTGAATGCTAAACTAAAAGAGAATTAAAGTGAATGCTAAACTAAAAGAAAGGTAAGCAAAAATCTTGGTAAAATGTACATTAAACACTCTCCTTAATATTAAATGCCCTTTCATTTAAACATTATGCACAAAGCTATGGTATTATATTTTCCAATAAGAGTTTTCATAACTGAATTAGAGAGCCTGAAAGGGAAAGCTTAGTTATTACGGATAGGTTTTAAGTCTTGGCTTGCACACAAAACTTCCTGTATCTGCATACCCCAAACCCCCGTTGCAGTAGATTTCCTACAGGGCTGAACAGAACTTCCCCTAGAATTTGTGTACATCTTTACAGAAGCGGACTAACACCTTCCTCCCGCTGACTTCGAATCACTGACTTTTCTTAACTTTAACAGCCTAGCCCTTTACCACTGTGCCCACTAAGCCCCTTACCAGCATAGAACCCTTTAACCTGCTTTTAAAATTTCCTTTTCATGCATCCAAAACGCTCATATTCGGCAAGTCTTTTTTTTTCTTCCATACAGCAAGTTTGTTATTAAATATCTATCTGGAGACCCCACGGCTAAGCAGTTCCAAGAGCTAAGCACTGACTAGGGAGTTCTGCTGCTGGCTGCTAGCCCAGAGGTCCAGCCCTTCTAGCGGATGGGACTCACTAGCGGGTTTTTTTGGAGGAGAACGGGCAATCTTCTAATCAATTTACACCCAATGCAGTCGGTCTGGCCCGATTGCCTGGTCCTACTCCATCTTCAAAATCATTGCTATATTTGAAACCACTTGTATCCACTTTCCCAACCCATCTCATTGAGTCTTCTTTTTCACCGCCCGGAACTTTACCAGGCATGACGTCTTTCTCCAGGGACAAGTCCCTCCGGTAGCATATCCACGGTATGTAACGTTGTCTTGCCCTTCTCACTTTTAAGGAGCATTTACTTCTTCCAAGGCAAATCTGCTCATTCTTTACGCAGTCACTATTCTTCGCCAACTGAACCACACAAATGCACCTCTAATTTTAACCACGTCTTCCGTATTCATGGCGTAGTTTACACATATGCACACAAGGCAAACAGCAATACTGTGGCTTAAGGCAGGCGTAACTCTCGAAGTGACAAAAAAAGAGCCTGGAATGATTTCGAAAGGATAAAGTGGGCTTTGCTCTTCTGGTTCTTCTTCTTGTGAATCTGTCTCCTTCACGTGGGATCAATGCACTTGGAAGAAAAGTGCTCAAGAAAACCAATTAGCTACTAACTGCAAGGAGAGGAAGAGAAGGCTGAGTGGAAGGCGCCTGCGCCCTGGGACCACTGATCAGCCACCAGGCTCAGTGTCTAGAGCGATTTCCGCGCGACTCCGCCGCTGCTCCGGCAAAGGGGCTGCATCCACACCTCCAGGGGCGCCAGGGGCCAGAGCCTCACAACCCGCCGCCTCTCTCACCTCGTCATCCAAGAAGTCCAGGTAATCTCTCTGGGCTTCTCGCAGCTCCACGTCGTCCAACACCACCGTACCTGCCATGCTTGCAGCCCCCCGAACCACCTCCGAGGAGTCGCGCGAAGGTCCTGGACAGGCTCCGCCCCGGCGCGAAAACTTCCGAACTTTTCCCGCCACCACAGCACACAGAGAGGAAGGGGCGGGGACTCTGATCGCAATTCCATGTTCTGATTGGCTAAACTCTATCAGAAATTTGCGTGTCCAATCCGGGGCGCCTTCTTTTTTTAGGATTTACGTCTGGCGTCTCGTGGTGGCGGGAAATGTCCTATCCGGGGCGGATCCTCTTTAAGTCTCCACTGCCCTAGCTTCTTCCTCAGGATCTAGGAAACCTACCAATGAAGCCAAGGGGAGATGCATGGGCATCTGGTAATCCGGCAGGAGAGGGCCTAGGGAGCGCTGCATTCTGGGAGTTGTAGTCTTCTCTTCGTGGGCGCTATGTTTGCAGTATTTGGGGGTTTAGTACGTTCAAGTTTTGCTTTGTTAGTGGTGTTAGATGGCTGCGATTCCAGCAGGACTTAAAAGTACCCTATGAACAAGAGACCTGAACCTTGTTCTTTCCTGTACCATCCTCATCATGCCGGATACCCTTAACCCACTGCTGCAGTCACCAAATCAATCCACCTTGTTGGGGGTCTTCCTGTCTTTCGCTGACCCTCCACCTTTCCAAGCATGATATCTCTTTCCAAAGAATAGCCGTTTCTAGCAAAAAGTATGAGAGTTGAAGCTTCGCCATCCTTGCTAACAAGGAGTTATACACTTTTCCCAAGACATGTCTTTTCTTTTGGCAGTCAATGGGACGGATATTCAATATTCTTCGCCAACATCACAATTCAAAGGCCTCAATTCTTCTTCTGTCATCCTGTTTCATTGTCCAGCACGCAGAGGCATAGCAAGTGATGGAAAAGACCACAGCTTGAATCAGGGGCACCTTAGTCTTCAAATTGAAATCATTGCTCCTCAGTATTTTGGAGAAATCCCTGACAGGAGACAGGTCCAAAACAGCAATACATCTCCTGATCTCCTGTCTGCTGATACCAGGGATGTTGATTATGGATCCAAGTAAAATGAAATTGTTCACCGTTTCAGTCCTTTCTCCATCTATCAGTGTTGCCTGTTGGTCCAGTTTGTATTTTGTTTTCTTTATGTTGAAATGTAATCCATAGTGAAGGCTTGAAGGTCTTTAATCTTCTGCAGCAAACATTTCAAGTACTCCTCACTTTCAGTAAGCAAAATTGCTATCAATTGTGTAATAGAGGTTGTTGATTAGTCCTCCTCCAATCCTGATGCCACATTCCTCTTCACAGACTCCAGCTTCTCAAATTATTTGCTCAGCATACAGATTAAATAGGTGTGGAGAAAGGTTACAACCTTGACATACGTCACTGCTAATTTTAAACCATACAGTGTTCCCTTGTTCCATTTGGACTAGGTCTAAGTATAGATTTTGTATGAGCACATTTAAGTGTTCTGATATTCCCATTTTTTTCCTTGTTACCTACAGTTTGTTATGATCCACACAGTGAAATGCCTTTGGTAATGATAAGTAGTTTGAATCTACCAGACATTCTCCCAGAGGAAGATGATGCAGTCTCCTGTGAAGATTTAGGGCTTTGGAAGTCCAATAAAAAGTGACTACAAGTCACAGTCTACTCCATAGTAGCGGGTTTGGTGTTTTATTTTTTTATTTTGGTTTTCAGGCTACAGCAAGCCTTGGTGGCGCTGTTGGCCAAGAGTTGACATGTTTACCATAAGGTCAGCGGCTTGAACTCACCAGCCACAGGGCAGAGAAAGAAGAGGCAGTCTCCTCTGGTGAAAATTTGTAACCTTGGAAGCCCGAAGAGACAGTTCCACCCTGATCTATAGGAACACTATAAGTAAGAACAATCTCGAGAGCAAATGAGGTAGGTGGTAGAGGATGTTATTTTCAGGCTATAGTTCAATTCAGACCCACTGCTATAAATGAAAGGCTGATTTATTGTGACCTTCCATCAATTTCTGAGACCATAGAGCTTTGTGGGAGGAGATGGGTGGATTTGAACTCCTAACCTTTTGATTAGTAGCTCAACACATTATACCTTACATCACTATATTCAGCCAGGACTTTGCATTAGTCTGTGGGCTTGGTAATAGACTAAATGTTAGAGAATGAGAGTTTATCTTTTCAGGAGGTAAAAAACCATAAAAGGAAACCATTTTCCAAATATTCCCAAATCAGGTGTGATAGATTTTCTCACATAATTGCCCTCAAATGATTATCCAGGGAAAAACAAATTTTAAGAATAATCAGGATGGGAAAGGAGCCCTTCTGGAGTGGTGGGCTGTTAACCAAGAAGTCAGCAGTTGGATCATCCCTTCTGGGAGAAAAATGGCACAGTCTCTACACAGCCTGGGAAGCCCTGGGAAGTAGTTCTAACCGTCTGTAATGATCACTATGAGTCTGGATTGACATAACAGCAAATTGTTGGAAATTTTTTTATATGAAAAATTGAATCATTACATCTCAAAAAAAAGTTATTTAGTTCAGCAACCCATTGACTAATTCAGTATGATTGCCTGAAGTATGCCATCAAAATACTAAGCCACCAAAGAAGGTGATAGATGTAAGAAAAAAAACCTTTGTATATACACCTATTGCTGTGTTATTATGTACCATTGAGTTGCCTGTAACTCATAGCAATCCTATGCACAACAACTCTGAATTCTGCCTTATGCTGAGCCAATCTCTCCAGCTCTGACACACCTACCCCCACTGCCTCAGTCACTGTGTCAATCCATCTCAACCAGGGTCTTCCTGTCCTGGGCCAACTCTCCACCCTTCCAAGCATGATGTTCCTCTCCAAGGACCGGTCCCTTTGGGCAACATGTCCAAAGTATGTGAGACTCAGCCTCAGAATGCCTCCAAAGAGCCACTTGGTTTCACCCTCTCCAGAATAAACCCGTTTGTTCTCTTGGCAGTCTGTAGTATGCTCAATACTCTTCTCCAGCACCATGACTCAAAGGCATCAATTCTTCTATCACACTTAGTCATTGTCCAGTTTCTGATGCATACCAAGTAATTACAAAGATCATGGCCTGGCCCAGGTGTATCTTGGTCTCTAGACCAGTATCTTTGCTCTCAAGCACTCTGGAAAGGTCCCTAACAGCAGACTTTCTCTAATGTAATTCAACTTTTTTTCGGACTACTGGTGCCAAGAATGTGGATTGTGGAACTAAGCAAGCTGGAATTGTTAACAATCTCAATCTCTTTTCCATCTATCCTGGTGCTGCCAATTGCCCCAGGGGTGAAATCTTTTTTTTTCCTAATGTTGAGCTTCAATTCATATTGAAGACTACAGTCCTTGACCTTCCACAGCAAATACTTCAGGTCCTCCTCAGGCTTAACAATCAAGGTTGTGTCACCTACATAATGCAGGTTGTTGATGAGTCTTCCTCCAATTCTGATGCCACATTCCTCCTCACAAAGTCTGTTGTTGTTGTTGTTGTTATGTGCCGTCGAGTCGTTTTCGACTCATAG